TGCGAATTTGATTATCGCAACGGGTATTTGACTATCGCAATGAGAAAATCACAAAGCGTATTAGACTATCGCAACACGAATTGACTTTCGCGTTGCGATTTTGGCTTTCGCATTGCGATTTTGAGTTTAGCGTTGCGAAAGTGTACCTTCAACAGGTCTTTTGCCTTCAATATGATGCAGATTGAAATCAATAAATCAACTTTTACATTTCAATCAATTAAACAATCACAAATAAGAATTATTTACACATCAATATTAAACAAATCAGCTTTTACAAATCAATTTTTATAAATCAGACTTTTAAGAATCAATTAAACAATAAAAAAAAGTGTACCCCAGACAGTTGTTTATGCACCCATACATCAATTTCATGCAGCTCACTTCAGGATTAACCTGCAGAAACCAAACATTTGCTCAAATAACACTTCTACACTCTAAAACCAACAAACAACAATTATTATTAAATTCTAGGTACTTAACAACATTTGCATTTGACTACAAAGGCAGCGTCTCGCATATATCGCTCTAGCCATAAAATGCCGAAACCACAAGACTACTACACCTCTATCTCTATCGGTGAGAGGTAGAAATTGTGTACTTCCTATCGTCAAACGTTCCAAGCACATGCATACGAGATGGACCACAATCCTCTCTGGCTTCCGGCGTTTGTTGTGGTGCGGTCTCGTCTCTGATAAATGTAACATTGAACTTCTTTGGCTTATTGTTTCCAGAATAAGTCCAATAATTAATCGCATCCAAGAATTTAGCCAAATCAGAGCTCCATCCCTTAATAATATCTCTCAAATCAGACAATGATATGTAATTTATCATGCTGTCATATACGATTGTCTTCAGGGATGGGACCTGAAGCTCGACGAGAAGCCAATGAGTACGTTCCAAAACAGGGATAAACACCTGCAATCATAAGTAATAATTCAAATTGCGCACTTATTTATGAACACCTTTAAAATATTTAAAAAAAATAAATACTAACCTTATCGACCTCTCACCATGTAGGATAAAGTTTAGCTTGTCCATTAGCCAACACATATGATTCCTGTCGTTGATTCTTCAAGTGAACTACGTGAAAAGACGTCGGCATAATTGTATATCACGTATTTTTTTTATTTTTCTTCAATTTCCTTACTATTAGAAGACGTGACACCCATGCATCAATATGTTGTTTTACAAAAAAAAGACATATATTAGTGAATTACATAAATTTAAAAAAAATAATCATTGTATACAGTATTTTTTATTTTTCTTCAATTTCCTTACTATTAGAAGACGTGACACCCATGCATCAATATGTTGTTTTACAAAAAAAAAGACATATATTAGTGAATTACATAAATTTTAAAAAAAATAATCAAAATGAAATATAAGAAGAAATATAATACTTACCCCCCATCGAAATAGCCTTTGTCTTCAACCCCTAATAACACACCCCACCAAGACCAATCAATCAACAAATGCATATCATCGTTGAGTTTGTATATGTCAGCGTAACACCCTTGGCTCCGCTCATGTAGATAAAAATCAACTGCGGTCTTAGCCCAAAGGGATATCCAGAATTGTTTCCGGTAGTTGTTTCCTCTCCACTTCATCTGCCATAATGGTACTGGCTGGTAACTCATACGAAAGCCAACAGTCATCCATCATGTCCGGCACGTGAGGGGGTTTTCTCAATAATTTGACATATTACGCCGTATGAATCGGGCTCTTGAATGGTGGGAGGGACCTATTCAATGATGACATGGGCCTCTTTAACGGTGGGAGGGGACTCTTGAGGGATGATAGGGGCCTCTTGAACGATAGGAGAGGCCTCTTGAATGATGACAGATGAGTCGGGCTTCTTCTTACGGAGTCTGCGCACTATTGGGGTGAATGGAGACGTAATGGCACGTGCACGCCATCTGATGCGTGAACCCCGTCGTACAAGAAAAACCCAACATAAAGCATCCACCTTATCGGGCCGCTAAAAATAAATTAATACATAAATCAGTAAATAAACAGACATGATATTAAACAGTGAAAACAAAGACAAATATGTTTCAAACTTGCACGGTATTCACCCAAGTCATTATTCTATCATAGTTCACAAAATGCATCAGATAACATTTCGGAAGTAAGCACTTATAAACATTTAAAAGGACAGCATATAGGTTTAGTGCATGTTCAAGGACAACATAAAGAGTAGTAGTTTATTCTTGAAACTTAAATTTGTAACACTATGAAGTTAGTATTTGTCTTTGTCTTTTGGTTGAAGTAATCCAATCCATTCAAGTTTCAATTTGCAGAAGAAGAATAGTTTCTGAAACTTAAAATCGCAACACGAAACTTAAATCGCAACGCGGAAATGACTATCGCAACGGGATAATCGCAATGCGAAACCAAAATCGCAACGCGAAACTAAATTCGCGTTGCGATAGTCATTTTCGCATTGTAATTTTCACGTTGCGATTTTTATTTTGCATTGCGATTATCCCGTTGCGATAGTCATTTCCGCGTTGCGATAGTCATTTTCGCGTTGCGATTTAAGTTTCGTGTTGCGACTATTCTTCTTCTACAAATTGAAACTTGAATGGATTGTATTACTTCAACCAAAAGACAAAACGAAGACAAATACTAACTTCACAGGGTTATTTTAGAACTGTTTAGCAGTATTGGTAGCAACCGAATGAATTTACTAAGCAATCTAAGTGAAATGGTTAATCTAAGTGAAATTACGAGTAAATCAAGTTAAATATAAAAAATCTTAAACTTACCCTCGTTGCGTAGAGTATGAACCTCATTCTGCAACAATGCTACCATCTCACGTAGAGCCGCTACCTCACCATGTAAAGTAGATACCTCGTCACGCCATGCACCATTGTCATCGCGTAAAGTACTGACCTCCTCACGCATGGCATTGACCTCATCACGTAACTCCCCTAACTCATCCCGTGGAGGTGGAGATGGAGAACAGGGAGATAAATGTCGTGGCATCTTTCCAATCGCCTATCATGAGGTGATGGTGGAGAAGAGGCTCGATGATGTGACGGAATAGGTGATGGCTCTCATTGTAGAGGTATATAGTGTGGTCGATCAGGTGATGGCTCTGGGTGAGGTGATGGCTCTCGATGTGGAGGCTACTCATCAGCCGTGCCATCAAAAAAACGCTTACTAGCTTGCCACAAATCAGTGGCAAGCTCAGCCTCCGTGGGTGTAAGCCTCTGTAATAGAGTGTTGGCCTCCTAACAATATAAAAGCTCAAACAAAGTTAAACGTGTACTAGTAATAACTTGTTTATATATATGGTAGTATTTGTGTTAACTTACATCATTTATTGTCGTATACCGTAGTAACTCTTCCCAAATCAACAGCCGTCATTTCTTCTTCTAAGAAATAGCTCTAGGAATATCATTTGAAGTTTTTAATGCATATATTGCATGTCGGGAAAAGCCTCAAATATCCAAATCTACAAAAACAATATAATACACAAACATTAATAATTGTTAAATAATTAATTATAATTTTGGAAACATTATATAGAAATTCTTACCTTAAAGGCCCAAATAAAGCCTGACAAAGTGTATTTGGAACCATCGCCACGCAAACTTTTGCGGTCATCAAAGGCAGACGATAACTTATTCCAAGTAGCTTTCCATAGATACGAACCCCACGGAAACAAGTTCCATGCATTTAGGTCCTCTACCAATAATATTAGGTCCTTAGGAATAGGTTGTCTGGCCTCTCTGCCTAAAAAGCCGGCATGCAAAAGTACTAAAAGGCATACTTGGACAACATCGACGTCATCCATCCGAGTAAAACCATATTTCTTATTCAATAATCTCATCAAGTCATCGACGTATAAATTCGATTTCTCCATTGACAACTTAGGAAAAACCCGGGATAACCATGATAGGCGGGTAATATGACTAGTGTATTGACCTACATCATCGTATCCGAAGCGTAGACCAGTGATTAAGCAAAACTCTTCCCGCCCAAAACACGTATACGCCGGTGGAAAATGAAACCATATCTCTTCATTACCGCGTTTTATACTCTCGGGTAGATCGCTAGTCATGGTCTGAAGCAACAAATAGGTCAACATAGCATCTCTACCCGGATGTTGTACTTTCATCCATGGCCCAAAGCAAGTATCCTCAAACAATGTTCTTTGTACATGTGAAAGCTTCGACGCAATTATAGTGACTAGTCTTATTTTATTCCTTAAGGTCAACTGAGCCGAAAAAAAGTTCTACAAAAACAATAAACATACCAAGTTAGATTAAAAACTACACTGTGAAGATATACCAAAAACAATAAAGAGTAGTAGTAGTTTATTTTTCAAACTTAAATTTGCAACACTGTGAATTTCGTATTTGTCTTTGTTTTTTGGTTGAAGTAATACGATTCATTCAAGTTTCAATTTGTAGAAGAATAATAGTTTCTGAAACTTAAAATCGCAACACGAAAATGACTATCGCAATGCGAATTTGACTATCGCAACGCGAAATGAAAATCGTAACACGAAAATGACTATCGCAACGCGAATTTGACTATCGTTGCGATTTTCATTTCGCGTTGCGATCCTCGGTTTCAAATAGTCATTGTCTAAAATTGAAACTTGAATGAATTGCATTACTTCAACCAAAAGACAAAACAAAGACAAATACTAACTTTACAGGGTTAAAGACTAAACTGTTTAGTAGTATTGGCAGCAATCAAATGAATTTAATAAGCAATCTAAGTGAAATGGTTAATCTATTATTGAAATTATCAGTAAACTTATCATCAATTTCAATATGAAAAACCTAATAATAATGCAAAAATTTCAAAATAAAAATAATTAAAAAAAACATAATAGTAGTTTCCTCTTTTTTTGACTGGGAATAACTGTTTTCTCTCTCTCGATAGCTGGCCTATTGTGCTTGGGTTTTAGGGTTTTTTCTTGGTTCTTACTGATTTGGCTCTTGAGTTTTGCTCGTGATAGATTCTAGGTGACGGTTTGGGTTATGGATTGGAGGAGTTTGTTCGTGGGTGTTGAGGAACAGTCGCTAGATTTCTTCCCCCCGGAGTGTCGTGAGGGTTCTATGACGGTGGTTCCTCCGAATGTTGTGTTTGAAGAAGGGATTTTGGAGTGGAAATTCTCTTTAGTGGGTCAATTTATTGGATCGGCGCCCAATTTTGGTTCCTTGCAGAAGCTGGTGGAAATAGTGTGGGGGAAATCGACAACTAAGGTTAGTCTTGCTGGTTCTAATCTTTACGTTTTATCCTTTTCGAAATGGTGCTACTCGAGACTGGGTCCTTGAGAATGGTCCCTGGCATTTCCAGCACAAAGCGTTGGTGCTGAGGAAGTGGGAACCTAACCTAAAGTGTCTCGATTTTAATTTGGAAAGGATGCTTGTATGGATCCAGCTTTTCAATGTTCCATTAGAGCTGTTCTCCAGAAAAGGGATTAGCTATATAGCTAGTGCCCTTGGTATGCCTTTATACATGGACTCAATTACAGCTTCTAAGGAGCGTCTGGAATTTACCAAGGTTTGTGTTAAAGTAGAGGCTAGAGCTCGGTTGCCCCGGTTGATTGATGTTAGGCTGCAAGATGGGACATTTTGTATTGTGAAGGTGGTCGTTCCTTGGTTTCCTGCATGTTGTTCTAAGTGTAGAATCTTTGGGCATTCGGATAAGACTTGCAATGTTGGTGGTGGTGAAGGAAAGAGGGAATGGAGAGTCAAAGATAAGGCTTCTGGATATAATTTGGGCTATTTGACTCGTGAGAAGGAGGATGTTGCTATGGGATTGACAGTGGTTGAAGCTGAGGGGCAGGCTCTTAATGTTGGGCAAGGCTCAGCTGTTGTGGAAGTTTGTGAGCTGTCCATTAAGGCGCAATCGACTGTTGGTAAGCCTTCGGTGCTGAGCATTGTAGAGGATAAGGCAAATGGCAATATGGATGCTAAGGCTAATGTTTCTTTACCTTCTAACCCTGCTGAGGATAAGATAAGGGTTAGTGAGCTGCCTACTAAGGAACAGCCTACAGAAAGGCTGAAATTAAAGATGAGTAACGTTAAGGATAAGGCTAGTAGTAGTATATTCCCTAAGGCTGATGGTTCATTGCCTCCTGACCCTATATCACATGGAAGAGGTAAGGGGAAGAAGGTGAAAAAGTGAAGGGTTCATCTGGTGTTGGTTCTGCCAATAAATTTGAGGTATTGGGGTCTTTGTTGGAAGAGGTTGAGGGAGGGGGGAGGAAGCCTAGGCTTGCTTCTCAGGTGTAGCTAACATATTGCATGAAATGAAAACCAAAAAGAAAGATTTCCTGGATAAAACAAAGAGGACTGGTGAGCAAGTGGGAGGTGTAGTCACTCTTTCTGCCTCATGACTGTGATCTTCTGAAATGTAAGGGGATTTAACCATCCCAAAAAGCAAAAAAATGTTATGGATCGTGTAGAGAAGTTCCAAGTTAAAATTCTTTGTTTGCTTGAAACCAGTATAAGGGAGAATAAAGCTTAAGACATTATTGCACAGTTGTTTCTGATTGGAACTACAGTTGGAATTATAGCTGCCTAGATAATGGCAAGATTTGGATCCTATAGAAGAAGAATCTGCAGTTTTCTGTTTTGAAAGTGGATGATCAAACTATTACAATTCAAGGCAATTTGGGTGACAGAAATGTCTATGTTTCTACTGTGTATGGCAGTAATAGTGGAGCTATAAGGAAAGAATTGTGGAATCAACTTTCTGAGGTAAGTACTTTAGTTGGAAATAATATTTGGATTGTTGGAGGAGATTTTAATGTTACTGCTGAAGCTGTGGAAAGTTCTAGCTTTGAGGTTGGGTTCCTATCTTCAGAAATAGAGGACTTACAGAATTGTATGACTACTCTGGAGTTAATGGATCACCATTTCTTTGGACCTGTCTTTACCTGGTCAAATAAGCATGATGAGGGGTTTCTAGCTAGGAAGTTGGACAGAGTGTTAGTGAATGATCACTGGTGTGAGGGCTTTTCTAACTCCCATGTGGAATTTCAAGCCCCTGGAGTTTCTGAACATAGCATGGTTGTTACATGGTACTCTCATGATAGCCTTACTTCAAGGCCTAAGCCTTTCAAGTATTTTAACTTCTGGGCATTACATCCTGACTTCAAGGAAGTTGTTGGGAAGTCTTGGGCTGAAGTTGTGCAGGGTGACCCCATACAAGCTTTATTTTGCAAAATAAAGAGGTTGAAGGCTGAGTTAAGAGCTTTTAATAAAAGGTTTTATTCTAACATTTCTGGGAAGGTTGATGAGAAGAGGGAACAGTTAGAGAAAAAACAGATTGTGACTTTAACTGGTGGAAATCCAGGTGATATGGCAGAAGAGAGGAAAATATACTTTGAGCTCATTGATCTAGAAAAAGCAGAAAGGTTGTTTTACCAGCAGAAGGCTAAAGTTGATTGGCTGCTTGATGGAGACCAATGCACAAAATTTTTTCATTCTCAAGTTGCAGTTAAAAGGAAGAGGAATACTATAAGGGTATTGATGAGAGGGGCAATAAGCTGGACCTTTGATTAATAGCTGATTAGATACTTCTCAAGGCAGATTGGTACTGAAGATAGTAATGTGCAAGGGTGTTCAGATCTTTTCCTGAGTGACCTGTTGGGTTATGCCTTGCCTGCAGGTGCCAATGTTGATTTGGTTAAGGCTGTCACAAGTGATGAAGTTAGGGTGGCCATTTGGAGCCAAGGAAAGGATAAGGCCCCTGGCCCTGATGGATACACAGCTGGGTTTTTCCAATCTGCCTGGGACATTGTGGGAACAGATTTTATGGCAGCAGTGAGGTATTTTTTTGAATCCTCTAAAATGTTGCATGCTTTTAACTCTACTATTGTTGCTCTGGTTCCTAAACTGCCCAACTCTTGTAAAGCCATGGATTTTAGGCCTATATCTTGTTGCTCAGTGTTTTATAAAACAGTTACTATGATCCTTGTGAACAGACTGGTCAATTATTTCCCCATGATGATTGCTCCTAACCAGTCAGCCTTTGTGAGAGGAAGGAAAATTGAAGATAACACCCTTGGCTCAAGAGATTATTAGAGGTTATGGTAGGGGTTCCATCTCACCTAGGTGTGATATTAAAGTTAACTTACAGAAAGCTTTTGACTCCTTAAGCTGGAAGTTTCTCCTTGTTGTTCTGAAAAGTCTAGGGCTACCTGAACAGTTTAGGAAGTGGATAGAAGCTTGTATTATGAACTCTAGATTTTTCATTGTGTTAAATGGAAGCCTAGTGGGTTTTAGAGGTAGAAGGGGTGTCAGGCAGGGGGATCCCCTATCCCCCTACTTGTTTGTAATGGCCATGAATGTTCTTTCCAAACTTTTGGATGTGGCTGCTTCTGATAGAATTTTCCAGTTCCACCCTAAGTGCAAAAGAGTGATTTTAACGCACTTATGCTTTGCAGATGATTTACTCATATTTTGTAAAGGTAATGTTGACTCTATAGTTGGGGTGAAATGTGTTTTGGAGAGATTTTATGAGATGTCAGGTTTGAGACTTAATGCTTCAAAGACTGAAATTTTTCTTGCGGGTATGAATGATAATTTGATGACTCTTGTGCACGAGGTTTACTGGATTTAATCTTGGCTACCTACCTGTGAGATACCTTGGGTTCCCTCTTGTGCCTAGGAAGCTAACCGAGAAAGACTGTTTTAGCCTGGAGGAGAAAATCAAGGCAAAATTAGGACTTTGGTCCAACAGATGGTTGAGTTATGCAGGTAGACTGCAGCTAGTGAAATCTGTCTTGCTTAGCATTACCAATTTTTGGTGTAGACAGTTTATTCTACCCAAAGCATTGGTTAGAAGGGTGAATCAGCTCTGCGCAAGGTTTTTTTGGAAGGGTGGTGGCATTCCAACTAAGGGTGCTCGTGTGAGTTGGGATTGCATTTGCTCACCTAAGTCTGAGGGCGGCTTAGGCCTTAAGCAATTAGCTAGCTGGAACAAAGCTTGCATTTTGTTATTGGTTAAAGAGCTTCTTATGGCAGAGGGGTTACTTTGGGTTGCTTGGGTGAGATCTTACGTTTTTAAGGGAGTGGATCTCTGGTATGTTGAAAGTAAACCATATTTCATTTGGTGCATACGGAAAATCTTAAAAGTTAGAGAGGAAGTGCAACCCCTATTCTCGGGGATCATGGACTGGGGCAGAATTAATGCTCGTTGGTTGTGGCAGGAGATTAGAGGGAGGACAGTGAAGGTAGAATGGCATAAGGCTATCTGTTTCCTTTGCACACTCCCAAGCACTCTCTCATTGCTTGGATGGCCATCCTCAACAGATTGCCAACGGCTGACAGACTTATCCGTATGGGGATTGGGGTGGATGATAAGTGTAGGCTATGTGGAGCCGAGGCCGAGACCCGCAGCCATATCTTCTTTGAATGCTCATACTCGAAAGCTATTTGGGAGGTGATCAATCGATTGTGTAATATCGACAGAACAGTGGGAAGTTGAGATGAGGAATTAAGTTGGGCAGTCTCTAGATTCAGGGGGGAAACTTTTCTTATTTTTATACTTAGAACTGCCTGGTGTGTATATATATATTGTATATGGGAGGAAAGGAATCATAGACAGTTTAGGGGTCACAGTAGGGATGTTGCTAATGTAGTGAATTGTATTATTGAGGTTGTTAGGATGAAATCTGTTCGTATGGTCATACAGAGTAGTGTAGCCAACAGGGACCTTTGTCTAGCTTGGGGAATTAGATCCTCTTAGGAGGTGGGTACTGGTTTGTGCATTGTATTGGTTGTAGCAGTGTGTTTACTACTGCTTCTTGGATAATAATATGGAATTTATCTAAAAATAATAATTAAAAAAACTAACCCTCGGTGGTTGATTTGGTTGATTTTCCATTTCTGATCGTGAATGATTGTGAGGGTGGCTCTGAGAGATAGAGATAAACGGATTTCGTCGGAGATGGGGACGAATATGGGGACGGATGTCGTCGTAGAGAGTGAGAATAGAGATGGGACTGAGTTGTGATTTAGGTTTTTAGGTTAAGAGTTGCGATTACGGGATGTATTAATATTCGTGTTTGGAATTTGAAAATAAAATACGCGTTGCGATACTAATGTCGCTTTGAAAATCGCATTGCGATTTTGTATTATCGCGTTGCGATAGTCAGAATCGCGTTGCGATTATGTATTATCGCATTGCGATTTACATATTCGCATTGCGATTTACAAAATCGCAACGCGAATTTGGAAAATCGCAATGCGATAGTCAAAATCGCGTTGCGAATCTGGAAACTGATTTGCGATACTGGAGATCGCGTTGCGATTTAGAGATCGCATTGCGATTTTGTTGATCATTTTGGCAATTCGAAAAAAAGTTTCAAAATCGTATATTATAAGGAATTTTCGGTCACTGATGTTATTTTCTCTTTAAAAATTGACAGATAAACTATTTATATAATCACTCTTATCAGATATCGAATTATGTCATTACAAAAATTGGGTATCACGTAATTAGGAATAACAGTGGGTCACACATGAGTATTACTATTCAAGTAGTAATCATAATTAAACAACCTTATTTGATATGCATTTAAATAAAAAAATTGAATTCAAAATTTTAAATCATGTAAAATATTTGAATATATACAAATATGGACATGAATACACTAAAAGTTAGATGTTTTTTTTTACAAAGAAAGTAAATTTTATTAATAATGGAAGGAATCAAAATTACGCACCAAAATATAGAGAGAAATTTGAGGATAATAATTACCAAAATATTCATACAAAAGTAAAATTTTAAACCTAAAAATACGAAGAAAAATAAAACATTCCATTAAGAAGGGCGACCAATATTAAAACCTAATAATCTTCATAAAAACTCTTTGTCTCTATCGAATGAGATGTTTTACGCAGTGATAAGTGGTGAGCGTTCCAAATAATATAACTTGTTGCTTCGCTACACAATTTTAATTACATCTACAAACAATATTTTACTAAAATATGGGATGTGACTATACATGATCACCGACAAACCAATAAGAAAAATAAATGTCGTGATGATTTTTGTGCGATAACTAAAATGACCGCAGAGGTATTTAAAAAAACGTACCAATAACCATAAGGATCGTGCCACAAGAACATAGAAAACAAGTGCCACAAGAGTAAAAAATGTGTCACAAGAACAAATATTTTTATTCAAAATTAAAAAGACTCAAGAAAAAAAATACATAATATAAAAAACAAGAAAATTAATAGTCACTGACGGTCGATAATCAACATTAAGATTAATTTCATTGCCAGTTAAACAAAAATCAAAGAGAAAGAAGAAGATGTCGTAAAAAATATTAAAAGAAAATTATGTTGAAAGAAAGGAGAGACGTCTAAATTTTTTTAAAATTAAATGAGTAATTACATATTTGAAGTGCCTAAATTCTACTTATATAAAGTTGGATAATTAAACTTTGAAACCCAAAAAATAAATGCATTCTTTATTTTATAACTCAAAGTAAAATTCAAATATGTAAATTCGTAATTTGTGTCAACATAAATGGTAAGTTCAAATACAGATATCTAAGAGTAAATTTATATTCAGTTTAAATCTTTAATGATAACAATTTTATGAATTTATAAAAATAATCAAATATCTATAAATATTTAACTTTGTAATTTGAATTGTCATCTCTACACATAGACCCTAAGTGCCAAAATTAAATACAATAATTAAACTCAAAAACTAAATACAATATTTTTATGTAAATTTATCTAAATTTAAAATAAATTCAAAAATAATTTAAAAGTTTATATAAACAAAATATCTTTTTCGTATTATTTATTTAAAATAAAAATTTATCAATATTAAATAACCTTCAAAATCATATCATATATAATATAATAAATAAATTTTTAAACAAACAAATAAACATAAACTACACATAATTTGAAGATAATTGTTTAGGGGCTAAAAAGTTAATTTATAAAGATTTAGGGGCGACCCCTGCCTACCTCCTAAAGTCGCCCTTGTTCTAAAACAAGAGTTGTTGTCGTAAAAAACACGCGACACGGGACAGGTTTGCTCAGCTAACGAAAAACAAGCAATTACTTTTTAATTGTATTTTTCATATAGTAGGATGTAGGGGTGTAAAAAGTTGATTGATCTGTAAAATTGATTGTAATTGATTGAGTTAAAAAATTTTGATTTGTGTTGTGGCGATCCGAAATCGATTATATTCGGAATTGATATTGACATGAACTCGAGTTGGATTTAAAAATTATGGATTTGAACCAGACCTGAACTTAAATTGAATCTAAAATATGATAACCGAACCAGACCTGCAATTACTTTATAGTTTATAGTTTATATATGTATATAAAGTACATGTCGTAACCGATTTCCGGTGATACGACGTGTCTCGACTTATTTTGTGAAAACTAGATTTTGTAAAAGAATTGTTTCGGAGTCGCCATCGACCTTTTGGATTAGGTAGGTCGAATATCCAAAAAAAATTCTTTTAAAAAGAGTTTTTAAGAAAAACATTATTTTAAAAGATACACCGATCCACGTGTAACCAGAAATTTATTTTTTAGTAAGAAAAAGAGCTCGGGGGTCGATTACGTGTGGGGAAAGACCCCACAGCGCCCAAAATTGATATAAAATATTGTCTCTTAATAGTAGAAATCTAAGAGTTCGAATACATATTTAAATTACGATTCCATTATTCCGAATTCAACCATACAAAAATTCTAAAGAAAAATATAAAATATTCTCTTATTTCCAATTGAAGAAAAAATACTTCCTAAAATACTTTTGGACGAATATTTCTCTTTCCAACTGAAATAAAAGGAATATAATAATTTTTTCTAAGAATTCAATATTAAAATAATTTTTATTCAACCAAAGAAAGAAATTAAATTTATTAATCCGAATTATATTATTAGAAAAGATAAGTGATATTCAATAATTTAAAAATACTAATACTTAATCTCTAAGATTATTAGCAAATTGTCTCGATAAGTTTAAAATAATGAATATTTCCTCTTCCCTTCAAAATTAATTAATTTTCAATCCAATCAATTTTTTTAGGTTTCTATAGTGGGAATATTTATTTATTTTAAAATATCAGAAAATGACATCTAGTTGTCTTAAGACTGTCAATTCTTAATATTTTAAAATACATAAATACTACCCTTAATCCAATTATGTAATCGGTTAAGTTATGCTAATGAGGCTTTTAAACAAAATAAAATATGATATATTGAAGCACTTAGAGAAAAATATAAACCATGGATTAAAGAACCATTTTAAATTTATTTTAACTTTATATTGCTTTATAAATATATACATATTTTCTAAATATTATATTAAACATAGAACATATTTATTCTAAAATATAATAAAAATAAAATAAAATTTTCTATCATGATATATTATATACAAAGTAATATATAATAATACAACAAATAAATATATAAAACATAAAACATACTTTAATGGTAAAATAAATAATATACATATGAATCTACTTACTCTATGGTGACAAAAATAAATATATAATAATCTTAGGATATTAAACATTCATAAACAAAAATCATGGCATGAAACAAGAACATAACCAAAACAGAAGCACTATAATCATAATAAAACCATAACTATAGGACTAAAATGGAATATCATAAATATCAACACCAAATTTCGAACACAAAAACATACAACAGAGGACTAAATTAAAATAATACAAAACCATGCATCTAATTCATAAATCTTAGAAAATAAAAGGAAATGGTGACTAAATCACAAAACACGCTAAAATGTAAGGGACCTATGACATGATTTACCCTAAAAAGTTACTAAATCACGAATTACATTAAACGTAAAGGACCAGTAAGGTAGTTTAACCTAAACTAGTGGCCAAATAAAACATGTTAAAGGTCCAGGGACATTTAGCGTGGTTTACCCAAAAATATTAAGATATCAACCCCTTACCAGATTTCACTTTGCCTAGGAACAACCCCAATTCTTCTCTTTTCTTCCTCCCTCACTCATGGCAACAGTCCCAAAAAAAAAACCAAAGCCTCTCATTCACGGTGGCCAATCTACCCCTCGGCCACCCTATTTAGGTGTCCATTCTCCTCTAGTTTATATCCTACCCACTGTAGGAATACTACCACAAACCGTTACACAAAACCCATTCAATCTCCTCTCCTTGAATGAGAACCCAACCCCGAAATAACCACCCCATGCGGTGGTTCAGCGACCTTAATTCATCGATGACTAACCTAGCATCTCCTCAATAACGGTGCTACCCGAAGAACATTCAAAGGTCGTGAGGTAACTCTCAACTCCTATCTATTTTATTTTCGTTTTTTATCCTAGAACTAGCATCAAGCGGGAGAAAAAAAAACAACACACACATTCGAATACCTTAAAGATAATTGCTGAATAAAACTTTTTGTATTA